TTTTTTCTTCCTTAACATTCTCGCCACACCATGCCTCCTCCGTGCCTTGCCGTATGTTCCTATCCTCTCCTGCTGCTACTGCTGGTGCTTTTCTCTTTCCTCCATCTCCTGCTTCCTACTCCTGCTTCTCATGTGTGGAGTGCTATATGCTCCTCCTCTTCAGCACACTTTCTCTTCTCACTCTACATCTTCCGTCCTTTCCTCCTTTTCTATTTACCCCTGATTTTGATTACTATTTATATCGTTACTGTTGTTGCTATCATCCTATTTATAAGTACTTACATGCATAGATATAAATAAATGAATAAATATATTTATATAAAAAGAAAGAAAGAAAGAAAAGATTTTTTTTATTATTATTATTACTAAAGCAAGATGCAACCAATCGGTTTTGCAAATTATTAAAAAAAAAAAAAAAAAAACATGAACTGTAAGATTTATAAGAATAAGATTATGATGCTGACAAGTTTGTTTATTTAGATGATACAACTTTTAGGGAAGATAAGAAATTGACAAAAATGTTAAACTAAACCAAAACCAACTTCATTTTAGCACCATTTATATTCATGGCAGTTCTTAGCTAACCTTCTGCCATCATACCATGGACCTTAGCCATGTCTAAATTTGCTGTGTCTTCTTCTCCTTCCTCCTATTTCTTTTTTTTTCTCTTCTTCATCCCCTTCTTATACATCACCACAGAATAATTCAGTACATACAAAAGCTATGCTAGAGACCTTTTCATTCTCTATTTTTTCTTAATCTTATAAGTTAAAGACTGGTGCTCTTGTTAGTGAAAATTATTATGTCATAAATATAACTTGAACATTTATTTTAGATAATCACTTGGCATAAATGTAGTTTTGTGACTGTATTTGTAAATGTACAGAACAAATATTGCTTATGTTAATGAAACCCAAGATACAGTTACAGCAGTTTATATTTTTATATGTGAATAGTTTCATGAGCATTTTATATCATAGTATCTAAAGTATCTTCATTATGAACTGTAAGATTTATGAAAATAAGATTACGATGCTGACAAGTTTGTTTATTTTATATGATACAACTTTTTAGAGAAGATAAGAAATTGATAAGAATGCTAAAGTAAACCAATACCTGACTTATTTCGAAAACCAACTTCATTGTAGCACCATTTATATTCATGGCAGTTCTTAGCTAACCATTCTGTCATCATACCATGGACCTTAGCCCTTGTCTAAATTTGAAGTGTCTTTTCTTCTCCTCCTTTACAATTTCTTTTTTTTTTCTCTTCATCCCTTTCTATCTATCACCACAGAATAATTAAGTACATACAAAAGCAAGGCTAGAGACCTTTTCATTCTCTATTTTTACCTTAATCTTGTTCCTGGCCGTGTAGTATATACTGTTTTTTACAAAAAGTGTACATATTATAGTTATGTTTGCCTTAAACAAGATATATCCATTTTCTAACTCATTTTTGGTTCAATTTCCCTCCATTAAAATGGTTTATTTGTACAATATGTAGGCACATGAATTAGGAATGAAAACTCACGATTTTATATATATATGTGTATTGTTGTTTGTGTGTGTGTGTGTGTGTGTGTGGTGTGTGTGTGTGGTGTGTGTGTGTGTGTGTGTGTGTGTGTGTTGTGTGTGTGTGTGTGTGTGTTGTGTGTGTGTTGTGTATGTGTGGTGTATGTGTATTGTGTGTGTGTGTGTGTGTGTGTGTGTGTGTGGTGTGTGTGTGTGGTGGTGTGTGTGTGTGTGTGTTGTGTGTAAAAAGATATTGATAACATCTGTTGCAATACTATACTTCCCGTACAGTAATCCCGGTGAACACAAAACATGCCATCCTTTTCACCTCTAATAAAAAAGATACCTTAAAATCGTAATATATTTTATGACAAAAAAGACAAATAAAGATCATTATGATCATTCATATTCGACAAGCACACCTTGCGAGGCCGTGCCAGCCGTCAAGGGAAACCGGGGCAGAAATCGCCAGAGGTTCTGTTCTCAAGCGCCCCGTATTCCATCGCATGTTAGTAAACTCTGATAAAGAAGCCAAAAAGTCTCTCCTTCGCGCTTTCTGAAACCTCCCTGAAGGCAAAATGGCTCGAGAAGGGGCTCTGTGGATGGGTGATGTGAGTATATGAAGTCGTGCAGGTTTTTCGTGAGTGACTGACAACCATAATGAGGTTTTCTTGGCGTGGGAGATGAGTGATATGAGGGAGCCACGTTCCAGGGGCGCTTGGCTGGAGAGGAAGCGAAAATATTTTGCCGCTGTTTTAGCTGTTATTTTCAGGGGATTCGCTTTCTAAGACTAAAGATGAGGAATTTCAGGTGAATTTCAGTCACTGTATTAAAATGGCTTGGGACTTTGATGATATTAAGCTCTAATTGTGGAATTTAATGTAGCTTCGTGATAGAGTTTGCCAGTCACTTCTAAATCTATTGACTAATCATTATGCCAAATCTTTGCGGAAGCTTTGAAGCTTTGACAGGTTGTCTAACGCTTTGCAGCTTTAGCATTCACACTATTACATTTTCTCTCCAAGTACCATATATGAGAACCTCAAATACTGGTAGTTTTCAAGTTAAGATTTATTTAAAAGAATTTAAGCCTACAGTACCAAAGTGCAACAATCCCAGTAACAAAATATGACTCAAATGAACATTTTATCTCATGGAATGCAACCACCACATACCTGGAATATAGCATATTTGATTAACGAAAACAGGTTGGCACACATCCTGATGGACTTTACACGGTTTTGTTATCAAAAAGCATTTTTTATGACAGAACACCCCCTTGACTCGCAATTTACATTTGAATTGATATATTTGAAAAGTCAAGTATAAAATGTAAACACAGAAAAGAACAAATTGAATTTAGCACAATAACTCTGGAGTAAAAGATATCCCCAATTTTATAGCAGTTTCCTGAATATTCTCTTGGTTGTGGTTTGTAGCTGAATAGTTTAATATTAGCTGAGCTTACAAATATAAGCGTCATATTCAGGCACCAAGCATGACCCAACCATACCTAAACAAACCTACCCAATAGAGTGTGGTTCCATCTTCCCATGTCAAGATACCGCCATCGTGTTTGTTCACCACACGTCAGGACACCAATCAAGGACTTTTCTCCCATACTGGTAGTCACTCCCCTTCATTTTAGTGTTGTATTCTTGGGGGAAAAGACATCACAAAAGCTGAAAAGCATTATTGAGCCCGGTTTAGTATGCTCGGTATTTAGAGAAAAGATCATGGTGCTATATATCTGTCACTGATGCTGTAAGTACCCCATGATTGATGCCTGGGTAAAAGTTTATATATGCTTTAGGGTGATGAATATAAAAAAAGTGCCTATTTCCTACACACTTGGAAAAATTACAGTGACAGCCAAGTTACAACAAATAATAACACAAAAATCTTTGTTTTTGTAATATGCATTAACTAGTAAATAAGCAGATGTAGCAAATACCTGAAGCAGACATATCCAGACAGAAATGCTTTAAATTACGTGAACATATGTTAGAATCTGTAACAATTAATATTACTAAAAGTACATGATCTATCTCAAAAACACAACTTAAGCAAGAATTAAGGCCTATAAAATATAGTAGAAAACAGGGCTCTCAGTCACCTCAAAAGTAAGCTTGGCTCATTTGTTTTCTAATCTGGTTCATTAACTTCCTTGCCTCCCCCCCCCCCCCAAAAAAAAAAAAAAAAAAAAATTATATATATATATATATATATATATATATATATATATATATATATTATATTATATATATATATATATATATATATATATATATATATATATATAGTGGTAAATCATTGTTTATGCCATTCTCTGGAATACATCCTTTGGTTTCCCATGAATTTGCATTAGAAATATGGTTTTTATCTATTTTCAGTATATCATCTAAATGATATACTGTTAACCTTCCAAGTTTGAACATTTTATAGGCACCTCTGTAGAATATCTTTTTCACAGCTTTCGGTTTTGAATCACTGAAAAATGCGAATAGTTAGAATTTGCTGTCATTTTCCAGAGGGTTACAATAAATCCTCAAGTGAATATGGATAGAAAGAAAGCAGTATCATCAAAGGGTTTAGATTTTGAAAGCCCCAACGAGTGTCTTTGTAATATCTACATATTTTCATATTTTGAACAGATTTCATCCCAAAGCATGTATTTGTCTGAGGTTTAATTGATCTCACAATCTATATTTATGTTCTTGCTAATCAAAGGACATGGATTTACTAATAATATTTTTGTCTTCACCAGCTGGCAGATTACATGGATGAAAACTTTATCATTGCTGCTTTCCGTGCTCTTGGCGAGGAGAATTTCAGAATGTAAAGGTGAGGATGAAGAAGTAATCAATTTTGTATGATGCTTTGATTAACATTAATGATGCCGACGTGTTGTTATTGTACTTACAGCATAAAGCATACAAAATGTGCATACATTTGTGTGCGACAATTGATAAATCCATTTGTTTTGGAACTTTATCTAAGGTATTTCCCCATTTTAGGTGATGAAGAACAGGTACACAGGCCACCCAGCTGGCTACTGCTTTGTCAACTTCTCCTCGGACCAGGCTGCTTTGACCGCCATGCACAAGCTCAATGGGAAGGTCATCCGCATAGTCAGCCGGTAAGTGGTTTTAGTCGAACATTTAGATTTTTTTTTTATAAAAATCACTATGGCAATAAAGGGACTATGTATGATTCATGTATTCTCCCTTTTTCTTTCTTTCTTTCATTCATTTTTTCTATCTTTCTTTCATTCTTTCTTCTTTTTCTTTTTTCTTGTTTATATATTAATATGAAATTGTCTTATCATTTCTGAACCATCCAATACTTGATTACAATATGTGCATTGTCCACTAAAGTTTTCATTGTTGATTTTGTTTAAATAATAATGGATCCAGATTATACTAAGGCTGCTTGATCTCACCTATTTATCTCTTTCCTTAAATTTTTTGAGATAAAAGTATTTATTATTTTAAAGTTTAACTTGATGCCACAGGGGATAGCATGGATAGACATGTCATCTCCACAGTGTGTTTAGTTTATTTCTTGTATTTACACATGAATGGCTCCATGTGTGCTTAGTGAATCATTGAGTCGATCCGTAGTCCGACCTATCTCACCGTTTACCCTTTTTTCTTGATTTTCAGAAATACATATTTTTTTATTCTTCATTGCTATTTGAAATGTTGATAACACTAATTATTGTAATAATGATAATAATAACAACATCAATATTAGTAGCATTAAAAAAAAAAAAAAAATCACCTAAACTCAAGGAAAAGTCGAGTCAAGCGAGATTACAAGGTTTACTAATTGTGGGGTCATCTATGTGTCGAGACATTTCACAAAGTACTACAGTGAACATCACATTTCGCCAGTGGCATTGGGTTAATACCATTATATGTTTTTCTGAAGCTGCACATAACTTGCCTCATAATATCTAAAAAGGTAGAAGATATTGATCTCATTTTTAAACCAGGTGGTCAAAAAAATTTATGAACTTCCAACAGCCTGTGCGATTCAAGCTGAACCACAGCAGTACACGTGGTAACAACACAGATAAAGAGTATTCTTTGTGGGTGGGTGACCTTACACCTGATGTGGATGACTTCGCCCTATACAAGACTTTTGGGAGCAGATATAACAGTATCAAGACAGCAAAAGGTATGTGTACACCACCGTAATGATGTATATTGTGAGAATTTCTATGAGGGGCCTTTCCATTGTAAGGCATTATGCAGGTTATGATGGTTATATATTTCAGTACTGGCCAAGTATATGATAGATGCACAAAGTGATGATGGAAATTTCTTTTTCTTTTCATAGTTATATATGACCCAAATGGACAAAGCAAAGGATTTGCTTTTGTGAGGTTTTATTCAGAAGATGAGTACAAAGATGCCCTCACACATATGAATGGCTTCAAGGGCCTGGGCCAGAAGCCTCTGAAAGTGAGTTATGCTGTGCCCAAGAAGCAGCATTACCCTGGCATGTGAGTAACTAGCAGCAATTAGTTAATTGGTGAAAGCTCATAGTATATGTATTTTGTAAATTTTTGTAATCTCTTGTAGAACCGACATGAATCATTCTGTTTTTTGATAGTAGGCCTTTTTTGTAAAGATATTTAATGGCACTGCTTTGTCATACAGGAATCACATGGGCGGTGACTATAGCCAGTACTATGAGCAGTACTGGAACAATTATGCTGCTTGGCAAAACTACGGCACGTACTATGACCCCTACTCATCTTCCTATGGAGACTACAACACTGGCTTGGAAGGAGGCACAGGAGATGCAAAGGACACAAGCAAGGAAGATTTCGAACCAGTGGGTGAGTTTCTGCCTTTATTTTTTGCATCTGTTTTTCCCAGTTCTTTTTCCTTTTTTCACTTGTGTCTTACTAACTGGTTTATATAGTATACAGACTACCCCAAAGAAGTGAAAGGTTGAAATGGACAAATCTCTCCTAACACCAGAATTATTTTTCAGAATGGAATGTCCCCATTGATGTTGACAAGGCCAATGCAGAGTACATTGAGAGGAGTGAGGAATTGTGGCAGGCGATTGAGAAGGCTCGCTGGACTTTCTGGGAAGAGGCCAAGGAAGATGAATGAGATAAAGAGAAAAGACGCAGCAGTAAAGTTTAAAGACGGATTGAATTGTCTCCTTATCTGTATTTAAACCATTTAAGATTGTTGGTTTGCTTCTCCATATTCTTTAAAAAAAAAAAAAACACAAAAAACATTGTATGAATGTGTAATATTTTTGTTTGTTTTCCAAATACATGTATAAAATTAATAGTAGGTGTTGCCAATGGTGAGAGGCTATTTTCTTTTCTTTGTCCCTTTTTATTTTATTTTATTTTTGAGTCTTTTGGTAAGAATGTTATTCCATATCAAAGGCAGGAGTAGGAGGAATAAGATAAGATCAGTGAATAATAAAAGTTTATCTCTGTTATTTAATGTAGAAAGAAGCTTCATATTGATGTAAAGTTCATTCATGAATGAGCAATAGTTGTGGACATGATTGATTTTATGATTTCTACACAAGAATTATGAAAAAAAGTTATGCAAATTGTACCTAATTTATTTAGTATAATGCACAGGTTTTCACTTGTGAATTTTTCTTTTAATGTACTGATTTATATTATGTTTGTATTTTCCTATAATCTTTTACATTTAGATGTGTATCACTTTCTAAGATTGTCTATAGATGATGCAGTAGCAAGATCTCTTTTCATGTCAGCAGTCTTACACTATATTTTTGTACCTGTAGGATTACATGATACAAAGAGGGAATTTGTATGTCAGTATAAAGTTGCTGTCGGAGGCAAGCTCACGAAGCTCAAGCATTGGTGTACATAAGTCGTGTGATCTTGTTATTAACTGGTTTAACACATGTTGGCTTGGTACTTGTGCAGGCTTGTGGCTTTTTGGCATGGCTCGTCAGCAGTGCAATCTATCTGTTTCTGATTAATTTCATTTATCCATTTCTAAATAAGTTGGAAATTCTTATTCATAAGGGATGAGGTCAGTTTACCAGTTTTGAATGTTTTCTTTGGAATATGAAGGGCTTTATTGTTTATGTATCACTACCTCATTATGGACATGTAATTCAAAGATTTTTCTATAGCTCACTTCTATTCAATTTTTCTTGTTTAATGTCGCTTCAGATTCTGATGTGATGAATCAAACAGGGGATTTATATAAGTCTTATATATATTTACACTTCATTGGGAATTTTTGCATTTTATATATATATGATCAACTAGCATTGCATATGCATTTGTATAGGTACATATAATGTATATGGACCATTTGTACAGTATGTAACAAAGTAGTCAAAATATTCAACAGAAATATTATAATGGTAAATGCATCATCATAAATATTTGACATTTTGTGTACTCTTAAGTGTGTTTTTGCTAATATGCTATTTAGAATATTTGTCATTTCATAGATCTCAAAGTACAAAAAGAAGAGAAACCGTACTTTAAAAGTTTTATTTTGGTATTTCCAAATTTTCCCATCAAGCAAGAGATCCAAAAGCATGCAACAGAATTTGGTCAACTTATTATTTTGTATAGAAAAATAGATTATACCTATTTTTTTATGTGAAAGAAAAAAAAATCACCTTTCATTCCCATATACTTATAATTGTCTTTCAGTTCATTGAAGAATTCCAAAGAAGTTGTCATATGCCATTTCAAGAATAAGTTATAATTTATTTTATTCTTGATATCACATGATAAACTAAACTTACCAGTGGTCGATGATATTTACATTTTTCTAGTGAAGAAAAAAAATCACTGTACATTCATACTTTTTAAAGTATTTCTTCAATAAACAAAGAAAAAATATTGCAATCCATAAAGCATCCAGAATTTTTAAAATGCAAGTATTTTTTTCATTTTCACCCACCTATGTAATTTATAAATTGAGGGATGCAAATCTGAGAGGCAGCTTCTCCACATGTTTATAATGCAGGTTCTCAATAGCTATCTCTATTCTCCTTGAACATTTTTCCTATACCATCCCCAGTGACAGATACACTAATTCACGCAGTCGCTTTACCTCCTTAATCCTCCCCTTTCTCCTAATTTCTGCTCTAGTTCACTTGTTCCCCTTTTTCCCCTTTCACTACCATACTATCCTATAACGCTCTCAAACCTTTGACATCTAACACATTTTATCGTAATCTTTAAGTCTCCTTTGCCCTTTCCGACACAATACTTTACCATAGTGCTATATGGCCTTTGATGTCTAGTACATTTATTTTCAAACATTAAATATTAAACAAAACAGAATGTAAGTTCAGTCTGTGCACATTATGATGTGGTAATATTGCAGATGTGAGGAAATTATTATTACTAATGGGCTGTATATTTAAGACACTAGGACCAATACTTTTGATTGTATTTTCCTTCTCTCTATTTTCTTTTCTCTCCCTCCGTCCCCCCCCAATCCCTTGCCCGTTGTTGTCGTGGGTGGGCGGGGGCTAAGGAGACAGAGACTGAGACCCAATGCAGGGATCTCAGCCGTTGACTCAACTAATTTTGCAGGATCTTTTCTCCATCCAGCTCTTGTTTCCGTCCCTTTTCCAACCCCTTCTACTATCTACTTCCGAAGGTGTAAGAGTCGTGTTGAAAGGATGAAAGCCGACTTTGCGCCAGTCCTGAATGGCCTGAGGAACCATGGGCACTGTATTCGCTGTTTTATTGTTTAGCCCTTACCCCTCAAGGAGACCCTGTGAGACTTTGAGGGGTCGACCGTTTCTTTTTCCCCATTTTATTTAGGCTCACCATGGCAAATAATGAATATTCTTTACCCTTGATAGAGGTATTGAGGCTTAACCTGTTATTAACTAGCCTATCTGATTTCAAATTTTGATGGTTTTCTGACCTCTGCTCCTCTTCTGACCACGGCTCCAACCACTATATAATACCATCTCGACTTTTACTGACAATTCTATCCATTCCAAAAAACCTACCCAGGTTATTATTCAACTTCCAGAATGCACCCCTTCCTCTCTCCCAACATTCTCGTCAGCTCTTACTACACAGTGTTCAATGCCTACCACCTCTTCCCTTATTCCTACTCTTCAACTTTATTGCCCTCCTCCCACAGAACTACTCCATTCCACACCACCCCTCTTCCTCCCGCTCGTCGTTCTACTGCCTCTACCTCTGCAAACCTTTTGGGTACTCTCTTTGGCCCACCAAAGTGGGATCGATTCTTTGCGATTCCCCCACAGCCCTTATTCTGAAAATACCCTTCTCTTTCAACAGCGATTTCAAAAACAAGTAGGCAGTTACCTTTCAAAGTAGCTCCGATCGTTCACGCCTCGTCACAGTTACATCAGAATCCTAAGCTCGTGCATTATCTACTCTAATTGACAATACTGGCCAAGCCTTTCCTGTCGAACCTCACATCTCCCTTAATACTTGTACTGGAATTGTTTCTATCCCGTAGACATAACCTCCCCATGAAGTTTATATTGGTGGATTGTCCTACCATGCCCGACCGCATCGACCGCTCCCTCGTCAATGTCAGAAAAACGTTGGCTGCCCTCTATGTGCCCAACCTGCTCACGTCCGTTCAAAAAATTGCCCTGCTCAGTCCCTGTTATGTGCCAGCTGTGGTGAATCCCATATGACGCATTTTACAGGAGGCTTCCCATGCCTAAAACCTCGAAATGTGAGGTATCAGAGTTCTCAGATTCAAACTAGGCCTCACTCTACGGAGATCCATTTCGGTTTGGTCAGAAAGAATGAAGGAAGAATATATGAATACATATACATACATACGTATANGGAAGAAGGGAAAACGGGGAAAGGGAAAATGGGGATAAAGAGTAGGAGAGAGAAAAGAAATAGACCGAAAGGAGGGGAGAGGAGAAACGGGGAAAAGGGAAAATGGGATGAAAAAGATAGGAGGAGAGAAAGGAAGAGAAAGAGGGGAAGAGGGGAAAACAGAGAAAAGGGGAAAATGGGGATAAAATAAGAGTGAAAAGGGGGAATGGAGAAGAAAGAATGAGACAAGACAGAAACGATAACTAGAATAAACAGAATAAATGACAGGAATGCAGAGAGAAAGAAATAGAGAAAAGAAAAAGAGAATAAGGGAAAATTGAGTAAAGGAAGGAATTGAAATAGATAGGATGGGATAGAGAAGAGGGAGAGAGCGAAAGAAGAGAGAAATAGAGTAAAAAATGGAAGAAAGAGAGAGAAGGGAAAGAAAATGAAGAAAGAAGAGAAAAGTGAAAAACGGAAAAGAAAGAGAGAAGAAGAGAAAAAGGCGACGAAAGAGGGAATAGGAAAATGATAAAAAGGAGAGACAAAAAAAAAGGCGACGAAAAGGGGAATAGGAGAATGGATAAAAAAGGAGAGACCAAAAAAAAAAAAAAAAGAAATGGAGAGAGAAGATTAAATAAGGAAGAAATGAAAGAGAGAAAGGGAATAGAAAGAGAATAGGAAAAGGAATAAAAAGGAGAGACCAAAAAAAGAAAAGAAGGAATAGAGAGAGAAGGCTAAATAAGAAAGAAAGATGATGAGAAACGGAATAGAAAAAGAAAATAAGAGAAGAAAGGAAATATAACATAAAGGTGATAAAGGGGAATAGGAAAAATGGATAAAAAAGGAGAGACCGAAAAAAGAAAGGAATGGAGAGAGAAAACTAAATAAGGAAGAATGAAAGAGAGAAAGGGAAAAGAGAAGAAGGGAAATATAACATAAAAGTGATAAAAAAGGGAAGAAGAAAATTGATAAAAAGGAAGACCGAAAAAAAAAAGAAAAAAGAGAAAGAAAGAAAATAGACGAAGAGCAAAAATGAGTAAAAGAAGGAATAGAAAGAGAACTAAGGATAAAGAAGAAAGAATGAGAGAACGAAAAGGAGAAGAAGGACAAAATGAATAAAGGAAGGAATGGAAAGAAGAGAATAGATAAAAAAAGGAAAAATGAAAGAACGGAAATAAAGAAAAAAATAAAGAGAGGAAGCTAAACAAGTAGAGAAAAAAAGATAGAAAAGAAAAAAAAAAAGAAAAAAAGAAGAAAAAATGAATAAAAGAAAGAACAGAGAGAGAGAGAGAGAGAGAGAGAGAGAGAAAGTATCATAGATTTAAAAACAAAAAGAAGAACGAAGGAAGAGAGAATACAAAAGAGAAGAGAAATGGGGAAATAAGTCAAAGCTGCTAAAGGGGGGGGGGGGGGAAGGAAGAGGGAAGGGGAAGGGAGGGGGGAGGGGGGGGGGGGGAGATGAGGTCAAACAGATGACAGACTTAACTACCGTTGTTCAAGGGGGCTGTTGGGGGGGGAGGGTAGGGGAAGGGGGGCTGTTGGGGGGAAGGGTGCTGTTGGGGGTTGGGGGGGGGGGAAGGGGGCTGGGAGGGTAGGGGGGAGGGGGGGCTGGGGGGAGGGGGGAGGAGGGGGTTGGGGGGGGTTGGGAGGGGGCTGTTGGGGGGGGTAGGGAGGGGGAGGAGGGGCTATTCGGAGGGTTAGGAAGGAGGGGGAGCTGTTGGGGGGGTAGAGGGGAGAGGAGGGGCTGTTGGAGGAGGGTAGGGGGAAGGGGGGGCTGGTTTGGGGGGTAAGGAAGGGGGCTGTTGGGAGGGAGAAGGGGTGGGGGGGGAAGGAGGGAGGGGGGAAGGGGGGGCTGTTGGGGTAGGGGGGGAGGGGGTGAGTTGACACGCCCTCTCGAAAAAAAAATAAATTACTTTGACTATCGTGTTTCTCAGGATTTCGTCTCAATATTTTTTTATTTTTCATTTCTTTCTTTCTTTTTTACTTACTGTTTTATCATTGTTATCATTATCATCATCATATTATTAGTATTTTCCTTTTCATCCTCATTTTTATCATTATTATCGTTATCATCAAGTTAGTAATAATGATTATTATCAATATCATAATAACTGTTACTATCATTATTATCATCATTATTATTATCAATTGTAGTTTCATTTCATCATTAATA